GCTGTACACTCTGTTCATCGACGGCTCCCAGAGTGTCCAGGGTCTGCTCTCCCACGTTCATCTGTAACTTCAGTGTGTCTCAAATTCCAGTAGAATTTTTGGAGGCATTGATGCAGGGCATAGATAAATATGTGGGTGGAACCAAGCGTGAGTCCAGTGACGGATCCACGTGTGTTTTAAACCTGATGGGACAGAGGCCGGGCTGAGGGGACAGACCAGTCAGGGAGGGGTGCTGGGCAATTAGCGTGGTGGGGAGAAGTTGACAGTGTTTCCTGTCATATGCCAGAGGCAATCCCAGGTGATTGAAAACCTAACTGTGAGAAGCCTTGGGAAGTTTGTAGAAGAAAATAAAACAGTAAAATCACTTCTCTCCCAGTGATTGGAATCTGGGCAGCTGGGGTCCGGGGGGTAAAGGAGATTTTCAATCTGTATCAACCACTTTGTTCCTTTTGAATTTTGATCCATAGGAATGTATTGCCTCTCTCCAACACAACTGAATAATTACTTAAATTTAAAGGATAACAGTAGTTACTTCCTTAAAAAAAAAAAGAAAAAGGAAACAGATTCTCTTGGATTCTGGGGCAGTAGCTATGAAACAAGAATAACAAACCTTAAAGGCATATATTCATAAATTGGACTACATTAATAGTATGATTGATAGTGTCAAAAACTGGATGAAGAGGGGGGAGGGTATAGCTCAGTGGTCAGTGTGCATGTTTAGCATGCGCGAGCTCCTGCATTCAATCCCCAGTACCTCCATTAAAATAACTAACTAACTAAATAAAGCTAATTACCCCCCAACATACACAAATCACAAACAAAATAAATAAAATAATTTTAAAAAAACTGTTTGAAAGAGAAACCACAGACTTCAGTACTTCTAAAACAGCAAATGGTTAATATCCAAACTACTACAAAGAACACCTACAAATCAGAGGAAAAGACAGTCCATAAGAAATGGGCAAAGGATATGAACAGGGAACAGTGAAAGAAACATGACGGGCTGGTCACCGTGAAGGCACAGCATCACGTTCATTTGGTTGGGACAGCGTCCCTAGGTTGCACGCAGGAGGGGCTGTTGCAAGGACGTGGTGGGAGGAGGGCCTTTGTGGCACTGCCCATTTGGGGAGCACTTTGGCAGCACCTGGTGGCACAGTCGAGCCCGCCTGGGACCAGCTGGTTCCGTGGTAGGTGTGTCCTGGAGGATGAAATGTTGCCCAGTGACACTTGCAGCCGTGTCATCACGTAGCAGTGCCAGCAGTCAGAGCAGTGCTGCGCTTTGTGGAGACACGTCTGTAGTGTAAGCACATGCACGTGTGGACGTGGTAACTGACATGTTCTGGGTGTTCTCTCTGGAAGGAAAGATGAGCTTTTATTGTCCTTTCTGTGTTTTACTGTATGTGTGCTTTTTTTTTTTAGTGGAGGTACTGGGATTGAACCCAAGACCTCGTACGTGCTAAATAAGCACATGCTCTACCACTGAACTACACCCTCCCCCCAAGATGAGATATTTTATATATATATCTCTCTGAAGTAAATGTGGTAAAATGTTTGGATTTGCTAAACCTGTGTGGTGGGTAAATGGACGTTCACAATACTTTTCTTAATCTTTTGTATATTTGGAGTATTTCCTAATATTTATAGGAGTTAGGAGGTGGTGGTCTTGATGCAGCTCTGCTCTCATTTCTGGGTTATCCTCATCCTGCTTTAGTTTTGTGCCTTCCTGGTAATCACCTGATGCCCAGGAAGTGGACCTGGAGCTTTGGTCCCTTTGACACCCCTCCCAACCCTGCCCATGGCTTTTCGGAGCTCCCACCAGTGGCCCCAGTTGAGCAGCTGGGGAGTGATGAGACCCCGCCCCAGGGGTGCTGCTGAGGGTCCCTTCACAAAGTCTACCCAAATCCCAGTTGCCAAGTTGGACTGAACTGGTCAGACTGGACTGGACTGGTCAGGCCACTTGAATTAGCAAATGTGTTCCGTGTTTGGGGCTTCCCCTTAACTTTTGTTCTCCAATCCGTACCCCCAGGAGCAGAAGAAAACCCTCCTCTCAGGACCCTGGAGGTGGGCTGGTGGGTTTCAGCCGGAGCAGCCCAGGAGCGGTCCCCGAGCTCGGGCGGCCTCTGCTCCCTGCATGGCAGGCCTCCCCGTCCTGCTGGACGCCGAGGGGACCGGCAGCAGTGCACACACACACACATTTCAGAGACGCTTCCGGGGCTGACAAACGTAGGTTCCCTGTGGTCGGCCCACACAGGATGTGGTGGCATTCGTCGGGCCTGACGCCTTGCCTGCCCAGGCCTGGCCCTGGGGGGGAAGCCCTGGGGGAGATTCCTGCTGGGGTTCCTTTTAAGATGGTGGGAGTTTCAGAAGTGAGGCACCGGGAGGGCTGACCGTGAGGGTGGGCTGGAGGCATCGCTGGTTTGCCGTCCTGTGAGCGGCGTCCCCTGCAACGTCCTGCCCGCTCGCGCCGACGCCGCGGGGCAGCTGGAGGCGGCTTTCACCTCGGTGTCTGCTCGCGGGGGCACGGCCTGAGCCTCAACTGTGTGGGTGCGTGGCCACAAGGCTCGGGCTTTTCATCTTCCTGTGAAAGAGTTCTTTTCACTCGGGAGCTAGTGGCGGGGATGTCGTTTCTCTCTGGAGCGCCCCGCGCTGCACAGTTGGGAAGACACGCCTGTGATGGAATCAGACGTTGGTCTGTGTGCAGCAGAGGCAAACCCTCTCCCAGCTCGCTTTTCCCGACTCTGCGCTCCCGGCGGAGAATATTTTTTTGTATCCCATGTTTGCCTAACCTGAGTGAGGGTCAAGGCTGACTTTCCAACCGTGGCTTCTCTGCCCAAACCACGCGGCTGCATAGAGCCCACGGTGCTCGGTGGGGGCCAGGTGCCTGGCATGGCGGGCTGGTGACCCTATGGCTCCACGGACCCTGCCCTCCAGAACCCGTTGGGGACGCCACTCGGGCTCAGTCAGGGAGACCCGGGCCCCTGGCGTGGCACGGTCTCTGGAGAAGGGGCATTTGAAAGAATTTTTGTCACCTAACTTGAGTTGATATAGTGATGATAATGTTGTTCGTGCACCTGAAACGTGTCCACGTTGGCGAAGTTCTGAGAGGTCCTTGTGAGGACTTTGACTTTCAGTTGGTGGACGCCCACCAAGCAATGGCATTTGACCCTCCAAGCTTCCAGCCTTTCTGTCCCCGGTCTCCGGCCTGCAGGACCTCTCCCTCCAGGCCTTTTGCATTCTCAGTTTATGAGTGTGTGCCTGAGAAGGCTCATTTGGAACAGCCTGTCCTGTCACACGTGAGGGGCTCTGGCTGGGATCACACTGTGGGAACCCACAGCCAGAGGTCAGCACCCCCCCTCCACAGGATCTGAAGGCGCCACGAGCCCACCTGGGACCAATTACGATGGCAGGTAGAGTTTGACTTGGAGCCATAGCCCCATGGTGACAGTCTGGGAGGAGGAAGTGTCACGGCTACAGGGACCATCATGGAAAGCGAGTGCAGCCTGCTTCCTGTGAGGGTTATATAAGGAAGGGATGGCGAAATTGTGCATTTGTTCTGCAGGGAGAGTGATTCTGCTTCGAACAGTATGCTGAAACTTTAAATAATCTCTCTTCTCTTTAAAATGCCCTAAGGTCAGATCTCTTTAAAATGCCCCAAAGTCAAAATTTGGATTACACAATTGTTGTTCAGAAACCCCCGCTCTTACTGGAAGAGGAATCTCAATTTCTAAGCCCCTGAGAAGCCCAGCCCCAGTCTACCACTGCCCTAGGGATTTGGGGGGCGTCCACCCCTCCTCCTTTCTGTCTCCACACCCCAGCCCCCTCTCGCTTGCATTCTGTGCATTGGTTCCTTTGCTGGTCCTGAGGGGAGCGAGGCTCTGGTCCCACTCTGCAGTCCAGGGACTGGGATGTGATGATAGCATCACAGGTAGTTGATAAAAGTTGAATGTATCCAAAGGAGCGAGCCTCTTGGAGGTCCTCGCTGAAGTCAAATTCAGTCCAGCTACCAGCGGGAAGGTGTGAACCCACAGCCTCTGACCCTCTGACTTTGGTCCCCAGGAGAAGGGGTGGTCCATCCTCTTGGTTGAGAGTGTGTCATCAGGCAAAGGGTCCCCTCCCCGGGGTGAGGAGTGGGCCTGGTGATACTGCCCTCCTCCATCTTTGCAGCCCTTGGGCATGAAATTCCAGATTGGACTCTTGTTTGGTTGGCTTCCCAAGACTGACATTCCAGGTTTCCTAACGGTCAGTGGCAGGTTGCTGAGCTCTTTGGAGCTGTCCCTGACAGAAGGCCAGTCTTCCTCCTCAGAGTTGTGGTGACTTTTCAGGAGTCTGATGCAGAGGTCCCCATCTTGGACCTGGGTGGTTGTGTTTGTCAGCCTAGGGGGAGGGAACCGGCAGAGGAAGGTGGCCTGCCGGGCGCCTGCTGGCCGGGGCGCGTGTGGCTGACAGCCGGCAGCCGTGTTTGCGTGGGCTCACCTGGTATTTTTTAAATTAGTCAACTTCATGTGGAGGAAAAAAAAATTCCGTCCAAATGTGAAAATGCAGTAGATCTCTCAACACAGTGCTCCGATTTCTACAGCAGTCAGCTGTGGTGGGGAGACACCTGCCCCTACTTTAGGGGGCATTTTGCCACAGTCCTCACTACCCCGTTGTCTCACACTTGGCCTGTGCTTGTGCTCATGTGCATCTTTGACCCCTGCGGTGGGGACACCTTGAATTGGCGCCTGAGTCTCCGGGAAGCTAAGTGCCCCGATTATAGAGCTGTGTGCTGCCATCTCCCAGGCTTCGTATTTTCCAGCACTAATGTTAATGTCTTCTATAAGAATTGCTCGCTTCTGAAGGGGGCGGGGAGAATGTGTGACAGCAGAGATTGCCTGGGTTTGTTTCTTCCTTGACTTACCAGTCTGAAGAAGTCGCGAAACCATTAAGTTAGGTGTTGGGGATGGTAACTGTCAGATGCCTCGGTGTCTACAAAGAGTAATCGACGTGTATGTATTTGACAGGTGAAAGGAAAGCAAGCCAGGATGGATATTTACGACACTCAGACCTTGGGGGTTGTGGTCTTTGGTGGATTCATGGTGGTTTCTGCCATCGGCATCTTCCTGGTGTCGACATTCTCCATGAAGGAGACGTCGTATGAAGAAGCTCTAGCCAACCAGCGCAAGGAGATGGCAAAAACTCACCACCAGAAAGTGGAGAAGAAAAAGAAGGAGAAAACAGTGGAGAAGAAAGGAAAGACTAAGAAAAAGGAAGAGAAACCCAATGGGAAGATACCTGACCATGAGCCAGCCCCCAACATGACTGTCCTCCTCAAAGACCCGGTGCGGGCACCGGCAGTGGCCGTGGCTCCAACCTCAGTCCCGTCCCCTGTGGTCATTGCCCCCATGGCCACGGTACCAGCCATGCCCCAAGAGAAGCTGGCTTCTTCCCCTAAGGACAAAAAGAAAAAGGAAAAAAAAGTGGCAAAGGTGGAACCAGCAGTCAGTTCTGTGGTCAATTCTATCCAGGTTCTTGCCTCAAAGGCTGCCATCTTGGAAGCTGCTCCCAAGGAGGTGCCTATGGTGGTTGTGTCCCCAGTGGGTGCCAAGGGCAGTGCCCCAGCCACCAGCACTGCACAGGGCAAGAAGGCAGAGGGGGCCCAAAATCAGGGCAAGAAAGCAGAGGGGGCCCAAAATCAGGGCAAGAAGGCAGATGGGACCCCAACCAGGGCAAGAAGACAGAGGGGGCTCAGAACC